TTTAGAGAATAACTTTTAAAAGGACTTTTTCTCAAGAACAGCAGCGCTGCAATCAGTAAAATTAAAACGCTAGCATTCCCATGCAGCGTAGATTTAAATTTGCCGAAATCATGGTCATTGGGACTTGGCTGGCGACACGAATGGGTGGAGGGAGGGGATTAAATTTTTAAAAAGAATATATTGATTGAATGTTAGTTTTTCCCTTTCATTCTTTTTGTCACTCGTGTTGGGAAATACCAAGTAGATAGCTGCATATTTAAACTGCACCTGGCACTTATGGCTGTTGAGCAGTGAGGGGTCTTGTTCATGCCAACATGTACTCCAACACTGAACCTCAAATCATACAGTATCATTACAAAGATCAATATCCATGTCACACAGTGGCAACATATGATTAACTCCTTTTTCTTTAACTGTAGAACAAAATGCTCTTACAACTGTCCCCCATAGCCAACCTGATTCAATATGAGAAAAATCTGTAAAAACCTCAAGAAAACTGATACTTAATTGGATTAATATGGATAATCCTCATTCTGTGTATGTTCAGCTTTAACCAGATCATGGCCTTGTGTTTGGATGGAACCACAGTTCAGCATAAAAGTTTTATGTTTGATTTGCTAGAGAAATATCTATACAGATATTCTTCTACAGAACAGTTAAACAAATATATAAGGATCCCTCAGTGTTGGCATTATAAAATCATATCTAAATCAGGATGGAAATAAGGGTTACACAGGTGAGCATTGTGGACCATGAATCTCTTGTTTCTGTTGCGGTTAATTTTCATTTCGCTGAAAATATCAAAGGAGCATGCCATCAGCCTATGTAAAGGGCAGAGGGGATCAGCAGAAGATCCAGGGAAAATTATGTACTCCAAGACATTTGATATGCTAAAAGCAGAGGACAGGCTGAAATGGTAGAATTTATGTTCTGGTTAGGATGTCTCCAAGATCCTAAAAAACATCAGTTTAGCTGATATGTAGAGTAAACAGACTTTAGGGCAGCCATTCATTATTTCATCATAATTGTAAAGACAGTTAAGTTAATCATGTTGTAAAATAAACATTTATTATCCCCTGCAAACAAAATTTAGGGGGGTATATTGGAAACATCGTCTGTCTCTCTGTCTGTGTGTATAGACATGATTTTGTCCGGAGTTGTTCTCACAGACTTTTGCATGGATTTGTCTGAAAATAAGTACACTTATTATACACCATATAGAGATATGTACCTGCTATTTTCATTTATATGTCTGCATTTTATAGCTGTTTTTTTTTTCATTTTTATATTGACTTCGTCACTTTTTGTTCACTTAGGTTTGAGACATAGAATCAAGAAACTGCCAATTGGTACATCTGTAGAAAAAATGTGGATTGTGGCTTAAAACTAGGTCTTTAAAACCTATAAAAAAGTTACTAAGTGTATCAAAGAAAAAGAAAAATCTAAGAGTTATGCAGTAACCTTATTTAAAAATGTTGCATCAAGATGACAGAGTTTTTTTAGGTCACCTGAGTTTACTCAGGTGGCCTATTGCTATCCGTTTTCATCCGTCGGCATGCGTCGTCCGTCGTGCGTTAACATTTTAACATTTTCAGCTTCTTCTCTGGAACCACTGAACCAATTTCAACCAAATTTGGCATATAGCATGTATATGTGAAGGGGAGTAACAATTGTGAAATTCATGACCCCTTTCCCCCTGGGGCCTGAGGGGTGGGACTAAAACCATCAAAATTAATGCAATCTTTTTAAATCTTCTTTACTCCTGGGCATCAAGCAGGCAAACTGTTGGCATTATGTAATGTAATAAGCATTGAGCCCTCTTCCTAAATTGTGAAATTTATGGCCCCAGAGTCAGAGGTTCTGGTGCTAGGTTGGGGCTCTGTTGAATATGTAAAAAATCTTTTCCTCTGCTCTTGGGTATTAAGGAAACAAACATGCATAGTTATGATAAGGAAAGGTGTTTCTTCTAAAATTGTGAATTTTATTGCCCTTGGGTCAGGGGTTCTGGTGTTAGGGGCGGGGATCTAATGATTATATAGTGAAAATGCATTAATTTTTCAAAAATCTCCTCTGCTCCCGGGTATTAAGCCGATGAACTAAGTACATAGTTATGATAGAAAAGAGTGCCTCTTCCAAAATTGTGCATTTCATGGCCCAAGGGTCAGGAGTTCTGGTGTTAGGGTGGGGTTCTGTTGAATATATAGTGATAATGCATTGTTTCTTTAAAAAGCTTCTTCTGTGCTCTTGGATATTATGAAAACAAAATAAATACATAGTTATGATGATGAAAGGTGCCTCTTCCAAATTGTGAATTTCATGGCCCCAGGGTCAGGGGTTCTGGTGTTAGGACAGGGTTCTGTTGAATATATAGTGAAAATGTATCATTTCTTTTAAAAATCTTCTCTGATACAGGGCAAACAAAATGAATGCATAGTTTTGATGAGTAAGGGTGCCTTTTCCTATATTGTAAATTTCAGGCCCCAGGGTCAGGGGTTTTGGTGTTAGGGTAGGGCTTTAATGATTACATAGTAAAAATGCAATAATTCTTTGAAAATCTTCCCCTTTCTCCTAGGTATTAAGCTGATGAACTAAGAGTATAGTAAGAATATGTAAGGATGCCTGTTCCAAAATTGTGAAATTCATGGCCCCTGGGGTTCTGGTGCTAGGGTGGGGCTCTGTTGAATATATGGTGGAAATGCATTATTTCTTTAAAAATCTTTTTCTTTGATTCTTGGTATTTAGCAAACAATCTGATGCATAGTTATGAAGAGTAAAGGTGCCTCTTCCAAAACTATGAATTTCATGGCCCCTGGGTCAGGGGTTCTGGTGTAAGGGTGGGGCTCTAATGATTACATAGTGAAAATGCAATAAATCTTTGAAAATCTTCTTTTTTTCTCCTGGGTATTAAGCTGATGAACTAAGAGTATAGATTTGATATGTAAGGATGCCTCTTCCAAAATTGTGAATTTTATGGTCTCTGGGCCATGGTTCTGGTGTTAGGGCAGGGCTCTAATGATTACATAGTGAAAATGCATTAATTCTTTGATAATCCTCTGCTCTCTTTCTGGGTATTAAGTAAGCTTACTAAATGTAAAATTATGATGAGCAAGTGTGCCTCTTTCGAAATTATGAATTTCATGGCCTTTGGTTTAAAACATGAATCCAATTTAATTGTGGCGAAGTTGATGCATGATACTCAGGTGACCTATAAGGCCTGTGCGCCTCTTATTTTATTTTGGTATATGAAGCTTTGTAACATATTAAAATAATATTTTTTTTAACAGAAATGACATAAAAACGCATTTATATTGTCCATCAAAAATCTCATGGAAATTGGACAGTAAGAAAAGATCTGGTCTTTAACCCTCTTAATTGCAGAGCGTCATGTCTCGCAAAGATGACAGTTTATAGTTACATTTTTTTTTTCAATCTAATAAAAAGCAATATAATTATAAGTATGCTGATGTTTTATTAAGCTGTGACTTAATTAATCATTCATGAAAAAATAAATTTAACAATTTTCACTGTCAATGTAAACAAATTGTGAACACTTCTAAATCCATAAAACACTTTAGTGACTTGGTGCCTTTTCTGAAAATCCCAGTGGGGTAATTGTCCATTTTGAACAATTTTAGCTTAATATTAAAGAGGTATTCACTTTAACCATGAATTATATACATGTAATTTATGTAAATAAATGTAATGAATTCTATGACCAAATTTTTTTTTGTTTCAACATACGGTGTTTCCATGATTATACAAAAGATGTTTCTGCGAAATTCTTTTGAAATGACCTTTTCCTACTGGAGTTTTATTCTGATTTCAATAGAATTTTGAACACAAGTAGAATCGTGTGAATATACAATAATATAGAATTCTTTTAATTTTATATTTCAATGAATACAATCATTACTAAATAAACAAGTGGGTTTTTTTTTTTTTCAAATTGCTACTCCTCCTAGAGTTTTGGTTCTATTTTATTGGAACATGAAACTATGCTATGGTAGACAATGCTGTACATTGTTTTGACAAATGGAATTGCAATGGTTTCTTAAAATAAAAATTTCTGTGAAATTCCTTCTTCGAAACTTAATTCTTCTACAGTCTTAGTCCAATTTCAAGTAGAGTATTATAAAAAAACACATTTGTCCTTAAGATCCTCCCTATGTGCATTTAAAGTGATTTTTTATTGAATAAAGATTGGTATTGTCATATTTTGTTGTTAATATCTTTAAGTGTTCAAATATTTTTTACATTGTAAAACTTAAAACCAGAATTGTGGCCCAACTCTCTCCCGTCTCAGGATAAAAATATTGGGTCGATAGCTACATGTAGGTGGGAATTTTTTTCCCAAGAAAAATTGAACATGTTATTGACTGGATGAGATAAATCAGAAATTAATAAGAAAAAGAAAATATCCTTTCTTGGAGGTTCAAAAACGTTTTAGCCAGTCAGTCATGAGAGGGCAAACAAACAATTTTTTCAAGATAATCTCATTTTAATTTTTTTTTTTTTTTTTTTTTTTTTTTTTTTTTTTTTTTGGCTTAGATTGTGAAACTTTCCGAAAATATTGCATATAGCAGAAAGAAATGGGGAGCTATTGAAATTTGTTCGAGATTTTCATTTTTATAAGTAATATTAATTCAGGATTTTGACATCTCATAGGCAGATCCAACACCTGATCCTCTTACTTCAATGTTCCTGTAATCCTTTTCATTCATATGTTAAAAAAATCAATAAAGTTCTTAAAATAGATTTTTTTTTCCATTTCAAAAAGTTTTAGGTAGTACATAACTGCCAGCGAATGCGTATCCATCAGCGGGCCTGTGTCCGTAGACGATAAGTCCGAATTTGGAGTAATTAGTTGTCGATACAACCATGGGTCCGTTCTTAACCTCAAAAGTACGAATGCTGTACTTGGTCTGTAAAACTGCAGAGCTCAGACCCACAGGTCTGTAATTATCAAAAGAAGAACCGTTAATTTGTAAGTATTTTAAGAACTACTGTGGAATTAGCACACAAATGTAGTTTGTTGTATATCCTTCTGGTATAACAATCATATAGTAGTCGATATATTGATGGATCCCCGGCATGACGCTCATATATGGATCATTTTTCTTGGATTCCATCGCAAACCCAGTAATAAGTACGGCATTATCTGAATCTAAAACCATTGTTTCATTTCCTCTTACTTCAATGTTCTTGTAATCTTTTTCATTCATATGCCAATTCGAAACACGGGCTCCAATACTGATTTTAATAGAAGTCTGACTTTCACTTATCACTTGAATCAATGTTCGTGAGTTGTCATAGAATGGGGGCACAATGTATTTGTTATCAAATTCGTTTATGGGGGGTAATTGAGATACCATGTGACTACACGCACCAATATTAAGCTGCTGACATCGATTTCCAGAGAATACAGCTATTGGTTCTGAAGACAGGATAAAGGTTCCAGTAAGATCAGAGGTATGCATGATTTGCAAAGTTTCATATTTATATAACATTGTCGTGAAAGCATCTTGGTCCCTATACGTTCCACCAAGAAGAGGAATTGACGCATTAGCTTTCATTTTAAATCTGATATTTACACTCGTTCTGTCATGTAAAGCTGCAATAGCAAATTGGCTATAATAGCTGCTGGCTGGACCCAGTGGATTCGTTGACGACACAAGGTATCTTGTAGACAGTCTGTTGGTTGGAATAATTAAGGTTGCATCGTTAGATCTTATAAAAAAAAACTATCGAATATGGATACGGTGTACAGTTTAGATGTCTGTAAAAGTACAGCCTTTGTTTCAATTGTTAAATAATCACACGTAAGATCATAAGGGAGAGTGATTTTGGAATACGAGGAAACACTTGTTACTCTATCCGTTGCTGATTTAATGGTCGCATTTAAATGACGACAAGTTGAAATATTAACAGAAGTGTTATTTTCTGTTGTAATGTAGATTGCTAAGGGCTCTGTTCCACCCTTGTAATTTCGCATGAACAGCATAAGGAATTCTCTGCCTCTTGATCCTGCAAAAATATTTATTTGAAAGAGTTTGTTAGTTGCTTTCTGATTTGGAAATATTTGAGTGCGCTTATCACGTTTTTAATACCATGCATCATCTAGAATTACGTATTTACCGCATGGCTTTGGTGTTGACTTTTCTATCACATTTGAAGCAGTTTTTGTTGCGGATATGTTGGTTTTTGTTGTTGTGGAGATTATCGATTTCGGTGGTGGTATGATGGTTGATTTTATTGGTGTGGTGGTGGCTGATGTTGTAGTTGTGGTGGTGGTTGATTTTGTTGTTGTGATGGTGGTTGATTCTGTTGTGGTGCTGTTTGATTTTGTTTTTGGTATTGTGGTTGATTTTGTTGTTTTGATGGTGGTTGATTTTGTTGTGGTGCTGTTTGATTTTGCTTTTGGTATGGTTGTTGATTTTATTGTTGTGGTGGTTGATTTTGTTGTTGTGGTGCTGGTTGTTTTTGTTACTGGTATGGTCGTTGATTTTGTAACTGGTGTAGTAGTTGATTTTGTTGTGGTAGTTGTGGTGGGCTTTCTCTCTGCTGGGGAGGATATAGAAGCTTCTGCCCCACCTGCAAATACGATATCCTAATTTACATACATTATCCATAGAAAAAAAATTACGTTTATCTGGGATAAAGAAATACCGCTTATCCAATTAATGAGAAGTCCGCAGACCAAAAATACACACCATTCCCTATGGATCAAATGGATTCAGAGATAAATGAAACTTTTAATGTGGTCACAATCGAAGTTTGTCACGAAGGTTTTAGAATTGTGAGTAAATGGCATCCCCACTATTTCTGCACTTCTAAACGTTTTCTTTCTTTTTTTTCAAGTGCTTTATCATAATATTTTTTTCGTATAAACTGACCCTGAAAGGTGCCCGCTCCAACAGAGGCATTCTTTGATTCCTCTTTGTCTTGGTCCTTTGTAGAACTTGTATACAATTTACTGAATAATCCCGTGCGATTTTAATGAGTATATCATTTAGAGGCTTATAGTTTTTTTTTGTTTTTTTTAATGAAGCACTACATATTTTAAGGCATCGAACCGACATTAAAATAATGTTTAAACATGTATATCTTTGTTTTCATAATACATTAATAAAAGTGATCGATAAAATATTTTAAAACGAAGAAGATATCAAAAAAATATTCGATTCATTGATTGATAATACCTATGTATACAAAAGTCGGTTAGTGACAATAAAAAACAGAAGGAAAATAAATAAGGAGAATAAATACCCAATGAAAATAAATAAATATTTTAATTCATTGATAAATCAAACTGCTTATCGGGGGCATGAATACTTCCTTTTGATTCACACATCTAGGTATTTTAGTTACATTACAAAGAAAAGAGTTAAATTTTTTATTATTTGAGAGGATTGCGGGGGGGGGGGGGCAGAAATTTGTCTTCTTGAATGATAATTGTCCCTTCAATACCATTGAAACTGAAATTGTTAAACAGCTTTACAATAATATACTTACAATGTGCGAGTTTCTCGTACATGGCATCAAGTTCGCCTTCGATGATTTCCATTTTGATGGCTTGGTCTTTTGCAAATTTTTCCAAAACACTTAATACATTTTTTAGAAGATCCGTTTCTTCTTGACTAGAAATGTTATTTATGATGGTAGGATTTTCGGCAAAGGAATCCTTTATGTGTACCACAATGAGAAAAAGCCAAGAATAAAATATTTTCTTCCTCTCCATTTGGATGAAAACACAGGTCGGCTAAAATGGCAAGATGAATATACATACAAAACATAAACCAAGGTCCAATGTCGTCTACTTTTTCAAAAATGGCGAACTGCATGCTTGATTTAAATTAGCTTTATATATCACGACTATAATGAAGGAGAAACTTGAGAAATATTGTAAGAGAGTATATCCGAGAAGTGGTGTAAATCAGATGTGGATACTTAAAAACTCCAAAGAACTTTTTTGCTGTGGCCTTCAACTCGACATTTCGATATATCGACGATGTATTAACAAAAGTTACTTTCATTCATATGTCGACCCGATATACCCCCTTGAGCTTGAAATAAAAGATACCACAGATTCTGACACATCTGTTTCATATTTAGATATTTTACTAGAAAAAGACGTTAATGGTAACCTAACAACAAAGCTTTATTATAAACGTGATGACTTCAACTTCTCAATCGTCAACTTCCGTTACTTATGTAGCAATATACCCTTATCACCTGCATATCGGGTTTTAGTCTCTCAGTTGATTCGATACGCAAGAGCATGCTCTACGTATGAACAATTTCTAAAACAAGGCAAGCTATTGACAAACAAGGTGATGAAACATGGATTTCAACAGTCTCTTTTGAAGTCATCATTTCGCAAGTTTAACGGTTGATACAATGACCTTGTCAGCTCATACAACCTATCATTGATTCAAATGCTGACGGACGTTTTTCAAACTAATGGTTCGGCCATTATTTATACACAGATTTTTCCGGTTTTTTTTCCCCGATCATGACAGAGAGCACACGGTGGGTGTAACCGTTCGTTAGGGCATGCTCACTTCTCCACGGCACCTAATCCCACCACTAAATTTTGAGGTCCGTGTGTGGTCTGCTCCAAATTTGTATCATTTCATTGGACTTTCGACTTTGAATACTGTTCGCTATCTTCATATTTCATTATCGATGGTTTGATGTTGAAGATAATAAAACATGACTTTTAATTAAGGGTATGATTTCAAATCTGAATTGAGGTATATAGTCCCTATGTTTTGTTTGTTTGTATGTTGTTTAACGTCCCTCTCGAGAATTTTTCACTCATATGGGGTCGCCACCACTTGCCGGTGGAGAGCTGCAAATTTTGTCCTATACTCGGCACTTACGGCCATTGAGCAGTGAGGGATCTTTTTCGTGCCAATACCTACTGCGACACGGGACCCGGTTTATCCGGTCTCATCCGAAGGACCGGTCTCAACGTCCCACAGTGGGATTCGAACCTGCGACGTAAGGATCAACTCCTTACTTCGCGACTCTAGAGCAGACGCTCTAACCACTGCGCCACGCGGGCGACTATTCCCTATGTAATTTCTGTTTCAGGATGATGATACGTATATCAAGTATCAGCGACCACCATCTCCACCCATCCCCCTTTCCGAGCTTTTATTTTAGGTTTACATATAAAAATGTTGTAGTTCACACGAGAAAATAAGTATTCTTCGTGCATCCTCAAATTTCGTGAGTAACAAATGATAGATGGAACTAAGAAGGGTGAAGAGACATTGCGTACATTCTGACACTAAAAATACGATCTCTGGTTATTGAGTGGTTTTATTAAGATAACCTTGAAATTATATGATGTATCGGAGAATCTTATTCAGCTAAACACTTTGAGTAATAATATATATTTTAATTCTAGCTTACTCAAATTTCTACAAAACAGTACGACCTGAATCATACCGGGTTTTGATAAATGATAAAAAGAAATACGAATGTGACCTAAAAAGGTAATGCTTCTTTTATCTCAAATATTGACAGAACTCTGATGTTAACAAGCATTTCAATCTTAATAATTATTCTTTTAAATGATGCTTTTAAGATTTGATTATAATGTTTCCTTGTAGCTCAAATTCTGATGATGTACTGAATATGTCTAATTTTGTCTTGTTATACCCGCACTTTCTAAAGAAAGTTCGGGTATATTTTTGTTACTCATGTCTGTCCGTCCGTCCGTCCGTCTGTCCGTCCGTCCGTCCGTCCGTCCGTCTGTCACACTCTTCTTTCTCAAACTCCTCTTACATTTTACACAGTAGCCTAATCCTCTTTCGGGAGATGGTTGGTGGTGTCATGTAGATGTGCAGTAAGGTTTCGGAATTTTCATTTTCACCCTGGGGGTCAAATGGGGGTCGAAAAATGACGTTTTTTATGCAAAAAGCCCCTGGTTCCCTGAACTCCTCTTACATTTTACACAGTAGCCTAATCCTCTTTCGGGGGATGGTTGGTGGTGTCATGTAGATGTGCAGTAAGGTTTCGGAATTTTCATTTTCACCCTGGGGGTCAAATGGAGGTCGAAAAATGACGTTTTTTATGCAAAAAGCCCCTGGTTCCCTGAACTCCTATTACATTTTACACAGTAGCCTAATCCTCTTTCGGGAGATGGTTGGTGGTGTCCTGTAGATGTGCAGTAAGGTTTCGGAATGTTCATTTTCACCCTGGGGGTCAAATGGGGGTCGAAAAATGACGTTTTTTATGCAAAAAGCCCCTGGTTCCCTGAACTCCTCTTACATTTTACACAGTAGCCTAATCCTCTTTCGGGAGATGGTTGGTGGTGTCCTGTAGATGTGCAGTAAGGTTTCGGAATTTTCATTTTCACCCTGGGGGTCAAATGGGGGTCGAAAAATGACGTTTTTTAATGCAAAAAGCCCCTGGTTCCCTGAACTCCTCTTACATTTTACACAGTAGCCTAATCATCTTTTGGGAGATGGTTAGTGGTGTCCTGTAGATGTGCAGTAAGGTTTCGGAATTTTCATTTTCACCCTGGGGGTCAAATGGGGGTCGAAAAATGACGTTTTTTATGCAAAAAGCCCCTGGTTCCCAGAACTCCTCTTACATTTTACGCAGTAGCCTAATCGTCTTTTGGGAGATGGTTGGTGGTGTCATGTAGATGTGCAGTAAGGTTTGGGAATTTTCATTTTCACGATGGGGTCAAATAGGGGTCGAAAAATAACGTTTTTTATGCAAAAAGCCCCTAGTTCCCAGAACTCCTCTTACATTTTACACAGTAGCCTAATCATCTTTTGGGAGATGGTTGGTGGTGTCCTATAGATGTGCAGTAAGGTTTCGGAATTCTTATTTTCCCCCTGGGGGTCAAATGGGGGTCAATTTTTTTTTAAAAAGATATTTAACATGTTTAAACATCCTGGTTCCCAGAACTTCCCTTATATTTTATGCACTAGCCTTAAATCATGATCATTTGGAAGATGATTGATTTTGTCCTGTGGATGTGTAAAATGGTTTTAAAATTTGCATTTCCATGTGGATAGCAAATAGGGGCAGGAAAAAAATGGCCCCTCCCTAACCCATGGGGTCATGATTTGTACAAACTTGAATCTACACTTCTTGGGAATGTTTCCATATTAATCATGCTTTTGTTGTTCTTAAAAAGAAGAATTTTGAAGATTTTTTTTCCTTTTAAATCTCTATAAAACTTTGATCCCTTATTGTGGCCTGACCCTATCCTCGGAGGTCATGATTTGAAAACTAGAAATATGTCCATAGGACATAAATTCCCCGCCGAATGTATATTACTAATGCAACATGAAAATTTGTATGAGTGTATGAAGTTTGATGAGAATATCTTGAACAGTTTCTTTAAAATTGAAACTAAATCTAAAAAAAAAATGGATATAGATGATAAATTCTCACAAAATTATGTATAAGCGCATGCTTACATAAAAATATCTTAGATTGTTTCTTTAAAACTAAGTAAAATACAAATTAAAGAGAAGGGAGGTCAAGGTCACAGGAAAGTGCAAGGTGAAAAGTTTTTGATGCAGTTGAATAGCTCTCACTAATACATATCAGCATATTAGGTTTGATAAAAATATCTTGAATGATTTATTTAAAACTGAGCTTAACACTTATTTGAGAAAAGAGAGGTCAAGGTCAAAGGAAAGGTTGAGGTCAAAATGCTGATGCAGTTGAAAAGCTTATATCAGTATGTATTTACTATTGGCATAGAAGTTCAATAAAAATATCAAAAATGGTTTATTTAAAATGTAGATAAACACTAATTTAAAAATTGAGGTCAAGGTCAAAGGAAAAGTCAAGGTCAAAAAAGTTGATGCAATTGATATCTCTCAGCAGTATATATCAGCATATGAAGTTTGATAAATATATCTTGAATTGTTTATTCAAAACTGATCTAGACACTAATTTAAGAAAAGTAAGGTCAGGGTCAAAGGAAAAGTCAAGGTCAAAAATTTTGATGCAGTTGAAAAGCTTACATCAGTATGTATCAGCATATGACGTTTTATTGAAGTCGGACATGACAAACACTATATGCCTCGGCCATATTCATGGCAGGGCATAAGAAACTTGAATCTACACTATATGAGGATGTTTCCATATCAAAATGACTAACAAGCAAATTCAAAGAATTGTGGTCCCCTGCTTTCCGTGTCCCAGTGGATGGGATGCCAGTATTTATGACATATTGTTTCAAATATGCAGGCCTTATCATATGTCATTCAAAAGTAATCACCAAAGTTAAAATTTTTGAAAATTAGGTAAAACATCAAGGTCAAGGGGTAAAAAAATCATAGCATGCTTGGAAACATCTTGTTACAGGTAATGTACATGTCAAATATAAAAGTCCTATCTCTTCTCAATCAAAAGTTATAAGGAAATATAACATTTTTGAAAAGTAGGTTAAACTTCAAGGTCAATGTCACAGAGTCAAAAGTCATGATATATTTAGAAAGGTCTTGTCACAGGTAATATGCATGTATAATATGAATGCCCTATCTTTTCTCTTTCAAAATGATCATTTAAAATAATGTTAAATTTTTTGAAAAGTAGGTCAAACTTCAAGGTCAAGGTCATGGGTTCAAAAATCATGGTATGTTTAGAAAGTTCTTGTAGGTAATGTACATGTGAAATATGAAAGCCCTATCTCTTATTGTTCAGAAGTTATGACCAAGGTTAAATTTATTGTGACAGACGGACAGACTGACAAACGGACAGACTGACAGACAAATGAGA